CCTTCCTTCCTTCCTTCCTTCCTTCCTTCCTTCCTCTCTCTCTAAAAATCAATGGAAAAAATATCCTCGGGTGATGATTAACAATGACAAAAAAAGGTCACCTGCTACTCTGGCTAAACTGAACAGCTCAGGTGTGAGCCATCTGTGCCACTGCAGGGAGCTGCACTGGGCAGCTTCTTCCAGGTGCTCTCTGACGAGCACAGTCTCTTTACAGGTACCCTTTTTAAAAAATATATCTTTATTGATTTCAGAGGGAGGAAGGGAGAGGGGGAAGAGAGAGAGAAACATCAATGATAAGAGGGTCACTGATCGGCTGCCTCCGGCGCGCCCCCCACTGGGGATCGAGCCCGCAACCCGGGCATGTGCCCTGACCAGGAATCGAACCGCGATCTCCCGGATCCTAGGTCGATACTCAACCTCTGAGCCATGCTGGCCGGGCTAATGTAAAAAAAAAAATAATGTAGACTTCTTCCAAGGTTGATAATGTTGAAGGGTTGCCTTCTGTTGGTAGGCTTTCTTTATATTAAACTATTTAAAAATGTAATTGGGGTTTGTTCTGCCACAAAGCAACGATTAGCATATTTTCATGGCTGCTGTTAAAGGCTCAGTCAAACCACAGGTGCCTAGTGCTGCCAAAGCCTCCACATTTGGCCACATTTGTTTGGACCCATGCCCTTGCGTATGACTAACTTTTACTCTAACCTTTTCATTAAGAATGTTGGAGTATCCTCAAATTCTGACGGATTCCCTTCTTTCCTGTTCCGAGTCTAGATACCAGTGTTGGCCTCTAGGTGGAAACAGAACCCTACTCAGTATTCTCCAGTTTTAAAGAGCACCATTTTAACCTTGGGTTCTTTGCGATGGGTAATCTGGCTTGTTCCTCAAAACCTTAGGACACTTCTCACGTGAATTAAAAGCACACCACAGTGTCAATTGTCCACAGTTGTCCGATAAAAAGCAAAGAAGTGCTAGGCCATTTACCTACATGTTTCCACATGCCGGCCTTCCACCCTCAAGAGGGCAGGACGAATTCCTGACCAAAGAGAAAACCTAAATTAATCTATTGGTCCTGCTTAATAAGCACAAGGCGAAATGTTCAAGGCTCCAAGATAATAGTCACGATGGTTTTTAAAATAAGTCCCTTTTAATGATTACTTGAGATAATATTAAATTGACTATCAGGCATTATAAACACTGGTTTCTCAGTCCTGTGCTGATGAGGTTTGTTCGTTTATTTCTTTCTTCTCAGAATCCCAAATACTGAAGCCTCTCTCATCCTGGGCAGTGCACCCAACGAGGGGCTCGTGCACAGTTCAAGTCTGCGGACGTGCAGCTCTGGGCACAGAGTGGCCCGCCTCCGTCTGTCACCAGGATGATTGACAGCCGGCGTGTCGAATCACAACTTCTCTCTCATTTGGGGCGCTGAGAGATTGGCTACTTCTATTCTCAACTGGAAATATCACAGAATAGAAAGTACGTAATTTCTCAAGGCAGTGAGTGAAAAACAAAAAATTCATACAATAGAATACTTTCATCTGCATCCTTGTTGTAACTTCGGCTTTTCAAAAACTGCTTAAATGCTTATAAAATTCATAAAACATTTGTAATAATTATTTCACATAATAATAATGAAAAATAATTGTATGAATTTAGCTCTGCTTCCTACCATAAGCAATGTTTCCAGAAAACTAAGATTTAAGAATCCTTTCTATATCAATATATGACTTTTTTTTTTTTTTTTTTAAGTTTTTATTGATTTCGCAGAGAGGAAAGGAGAGGGGGAGAGAGAGAGAGAAACATCAATGATGAGAGAGTCATTGACTGGCTGCCTCCTGCAGGCCCGACTGGGGATTGAGCCCGCAACCTGGGCATGTGCCCTGACCAGCAATTGAACCTCGATCTCCTGGATCATAGGTTGATGCTCAACCGCCGAGCCACGCCAGCCGGGCAATGTATGACTTTCTTTGATAAAAATGGATAGTCACATTATCTTGAAAATTGTCAACAAAATGTATGGTTTGCCTATTTTGTTGTGCAGAAAAGCCTGTGACTGCCAGCCTTTGGAAGACCTGCCTGTGGGGTGGGCCCCTGGGTGGTAGCCAGCACCTTGGATTTTGGGAGGGTTCCCAACCGTTCTCAGAACTGATAAGACTGTCCCTAAACTGTTTGCACAAATAATATTGTTTATACTGACACCTGCTTTCCTTTGGGGCTCTGAAATTTTGGTCTGTGCTGGACAGAGGGTGCAGCCCTCAGGAAAACCCTGAGTGCTGAGGCTTTTCTGAGTGTTCCCGGAAGAAAAGCCTCACAACTCGGTGCTGGAGGAGTTAAGTGAGTCCTGTGGCTCCGAAGGGACCCTTGGCAGCTTGCGTCTGGTTCTCTGGGCTTCACTCCTGCACCTTTTCCCTTTGCTGACTTTGTCTTGTATCCTTTTGCTCTGATAACTCACAGAGTGAGCACAACTATATGATGGGACTGTGAGTCCCAGTGAGTCATCTGACTAGGGGTGGCCTTGAAGACCCCCAACATACCCCCTTATTTAGAACTGGTATATCATAATATTTAAAGTCATCAAAACCCAACTTCTAGTCATAATTTATAGACATATTTCATTAGAATGATTTCCCGTAAGCACATGCAAGAAAGTCAGTTAAGAAAGGAAAACTCCTTAAGCTTGGGTAAGGCCTTGATGTTTTTGACAGTTGATAATAACCCATGAGTACCGCAGGGACAAAAGTCTTCTGGTCCCTGTTATGCAGTTTGGACTTAGTGGCATTCCATGCCATGAAATGACTCAAGCAAATATGACTTCTGTCTTGGTCTTAAACTTCAATTAAAATGGTTTACAAAAATCATAATGAACTGTGTTCTAAACCAGGCCTCTGTCTGAAAAACTGACATACATATATCTGACCCCTTTGAACTGGAGATGTCTTCCCACTGACTGACTCAGGAGGGCTGGAGTTTAGGGTATTTGATGAACACAGAGTGATGGGGTGTCTGCCTCTATAAGCTGATGCAAACAACAATATAAAAAAGAACTATAACATGTTATGCTCTTATGCCAGTTATTTATAATCCTGATCTTATGGTGATTGTTACACTTGGAAGGCATATTCTTAGTGATTGACATGCTTTGTCCTGTATGAATTTCAGTGGCAAATTCAGACTCAGCCTGGCCAATGTGGCTCAGTGGGCAGAGCATTCAATTCCTGGTGAGGGCACATGACCAGGTTGTGGGTTTGATTCCTGGTTGGGGTGTATATGGGAGGCAACCGATTGATGTATTTCTCTCACATCAATATGTCTCTCTCTCCCTTTCTCTCTCTCTCTAAAAAATCAATAAAAATAGTTTTATTGATTTCAGAGAGAGAGAGAAAGGGAGAGGGCAAGAGAGAGAGAAACATCAATGATGAGAGAGTCATTGATCGGCTGTCTCCTGCACACCCCTTACTGGGGATAGAGCCCACAACCCGGGCATGTGCCCTGACCAGGAATCGAACCGCGGTGTCCTGGATCCTAGGTCGATGCTCAACCGTTGAGCCATGCCTCCTGGGCAATAAAAATATATTTTAAAAATATTCAGGGTCAATGTCAGTTCCACCTGGGATTACTAAGACTAATGGTTCCACGCCTCCACCAGGGCATCTTGGGCATCTACAATGAACTAAAGCAAATTTTAGGATGTCTGCTATTGGCTGCCCTCCTATTCAATAAGAAGAATTGATGACCATAGAGAAGTTTATTTCTCCATGCTGGGTAAAATAACAAGGACATCTCCAGGCTCTTCACTGGACCCAGTGGTCACCAAACCCTTCAAGCATAAACAAGGCCACATGACTGTGCTCTTCTTGTCAAGAAGGAAGGACCATAATGTTGGAGTTGGGTGGTTTGCATTCCTCAGGAAAAGGCACCCTATAGACTGGAGAACTTGAGAAAGAGAAAATACATTCAATTAAAATGCAGGGACCCAGAAATTCGTGTCAAGGGCACGACTCCGTTGTAATGTGATTTTTGGAGGTGGGAGGTTGCTGGGCAATAGAAGTATCAGAAATCCTTGTTCCAAGGTTACAGGTGATGTTTGAGATCAGCTCAGCAGCCCTATGAAGAAGAGTTAAAGACAACTAAGTTCAGGGCTACATTTCCTTTCCTTCTAGAGTCCCAACAGAAAAAAATCATAGAGAGGCTGAGTGTTGGTTTGATGCACAATGGGAGAGTCTCTGGCGTTTCCTCCCACAGCGGGGTGAAGCTCATTCTGATACCCACGCAAAGACCAAGAGTTGGGGGCAAAGAGCTCAACTTGAGGAAGAGGGGCAGCCTCTGAGAGTTCCTCCCCACTCCCAGGGCACCTCCTGCGATACATCCTGAACACAGAGTGCTCATTAAATGCTCCCAAACTTATGTTGCAAGGAAATGAATTGCACCCCAAGAAGGAAGAAAGGAGTAGAAATACCACCTATTGGCTGAGGTCCTTGTCGTCCTGAAATGAAAGCGAAAGGGAAGTTGAATTTAGTAATTGGGAGAGTAAAGAGCAACAACATCTTAGAAAGTTATACAAACATTTGCATCCCGTGCCCACATCACCGGGAACCAAGGCAGGGTCCAATCTGTAGACTTAGCTGCCCCCAGGCTTAAAGGAACCCCTGCAGAACAGGGTAACTGTTCTGCAGCCTCAGGTGGCTTGCTGGGCCAAGATCTGTCCAGGCATCTTCTTCCTTACATGGCTGTCCTTGCCTAGTAGGACAGTATCCATCATTTTCCAGAGGTTTCTTACCTTGCTGGCCTCTAAAACAGAGAATGAAGCTCACCACGAGGGCAAAGAGCCCCAGCACAAGGCCCCTGACTCCAGTCAGCATCTTGGTCCGGGAAGAATCTGACTGAGCCTCTGGGAAGAACAGACCCCAGGGTCAGTCTCACCTCCACCTGCTGCAACACCCAGCCTGGCCTGACACCTGGAGCCTGACCTAGTGCACCGTGGGGGGAAAGGGAGAGGATAGTGCCAAGCTTGGGACCACTGTGGGGAAGGAGAGGATGTGGAAAACACCCCAAAGTTCTGGGTCAGACTGGTGATGTCCACAGGAGGCAAATGCTGGTTTTAGGTCAACCCATTAAGTCCAAGCATAAGGGACTCAAGGGAGGTGGAAGGGAGAGGCCAGGTCCCAGTCTGAGGGCCAGTCATGAAGGTGATTGCTTTCCTAACAAGGAGAGATTCTTTAGGGTCCCCCAGGGCAGGGGTAAATGCACGCTAGAATCACCAGACCCTTGCTGCCCCCAGTCTATACCAGTTAGAGCGCTGGTGAGGACACATGGGGTGGTGTGAACCTGATGGGTAGTGGTGGATCCCAGAGCCTGCAGCCTAGAGGGTCATCGGGAAGTAATTTACTCCAGTCTACAGTGACAGGACTGTCCAAGCTGGGGTGCTCCACTTGGCAGGTATAGACGTCTCCCTGTTGGGGGCTCATTTTCAGCATCACCAGGATCTGGAAGGTCCAGTCTCCGTTATGGATTAGATTGGTGGACACAAGCTGCACTGTTTCCTCCTGTCCATTCTGGAACCAGCGGACTTGAATGTTGCCTGGATAGAAATCTGTCACGTGGCAGACAAGCAGGTTGGGGTGCTGCAGGGGCCCCTTCTTGGAGGCGGGCACGTTCACTTTAGGCTGGAGTAGGAGTGGGAAAAAGAATCTTGTTATAACAAGGGAGACAGTTAACTCAGTGCATCTAGCAATTTTCTTGCCAAATTGGCTTCTAGATGTTAAAGATGAAATATCACCTGTTAAGCTGTTTGGAGGCAGAAGACGGGGAACAGTGCAGGAAAAACATAATAAAATGTTGCAATGTTTCAAGAAGAAAGACCTTGTCATACACAATAAAGAAAGCGAGGAGAAGACTAGGAGAGGGTCAAATTTGACACTCCCTAACACTCTCACCAGAAGCGTATAAGGTAGTGACTAATGTTCTTTGAACAGAAATGTTGAACCAGCAATGGAACTACCTAAATTTACATTTTCCATCTTGTTCAAAAGGACTCATAACCCTTCCAAATACTATCTTGGAATCAGAGTGTATCCAGTCGGTAGCTTTCCTTTGATCATCAGCCTGAGGTGCTCATTAAACAGAGGCGAAGAAATGAAGCACCTCAGTCCGTCTTCCTTAGCCTGTACGCCTCCCGGCCATCTCGACCAAAAAGAGCTTCTGGCAACATCCACAAACCCAATGTTCTTGGCTCTTTCGTGTTGGATTAACAGGGAGTCTGGCCCTTTCCCGTGTGGTCCGGCCCCAACCCGGTGAAGTCCGTTGGGTTTAGGCCTCGCTGGGGCTTGGAGATGGGAAAGAGGCCTGTCCCCTTCTCCGCTGCCCAAGGCCGCCCCCCCGGGGTCTTCTCTTTCCCACCCCCCCTCGCCTCTGCGCTTCAGGGCGAAAGCCTTGTGCGGCTCGTGGCTGTGTCCCCGCACGGTGGCCCCGGCGCCCTTAGCTCCAGGAGCTCCCCCCGGGTGTTCCAGCTCCTGCCGGTCACGCGCCGAGCTCCGTCACAGCCACAAACACCCACGGCGCTGTCAAGCTCCACGTTCATGTCTCAGTTGTAAATGTATCGCTCCAGGAAGCGGTGTGTCCCGTTGAACTCGTGGCGGTCACTCCTCCTCTGTGAGCCTGAAGGACCGGGTGGGGCTGGGCCCCAGAGGCCCCATGCACGCCAGGCGCTGGGCCCTTCACTGTGGAGTGGCCGCAGCCAGGGCCACGTATTTCCTGGCTTTGCTTTTGCTCCGGAGTCCCCAGTTTTCTTCCAGCAGAGTGTGCAGCTTGGAGGGGTCACTGCGCCCTAACCCAGGACCCAGAGCATGGCCAGAATCAATACTTGTGCTCACCAGTTCTCAGTGATTTCTCTCTCCACTTCACCTCCAATCTCTTTGTCACTCTCAATAGATCAACCAATCAATACAAGATTATTTATTACTATTGATGTAAAGGTATTTTGCTTTACTGATGTCACCTCCCAGGATTAAATGAGAAAAATACAAATTTTTACACCCAATCAATCACATGATCTTGGATAAATCATACAACCTCCCTGGCCCCAAGTTTTCTTACCCCATAAGTGGGGATTTAACTAAAGAATCGCTGATGTCCTTTTCAGCATTAATAATAAAGAGCCCTGCCTCAGAGGGACACAGTGACAGGCGGGTTCTGGGAGGGACGAAGCCGGTGCAGGAGCACAGGAGGTGAGTCTGCCACCTGCTGAGAGGTGGAGGCAGAGGGAGATGTGTAGGGAGCGGACGTTCACGGAGGGGTGTAAGGAGGAGCAGAGGGAAGAGAGCTCGGGCAGAAGTGCCCAGCGACCAGAGGAGCAGCAGGAAGGGGCAGGTGGGTGGCCAGGTGACAGGAGATGGGGCAGGCAGGAGTGGCGCAGCCGGTTTGGGTGCCCAGGAGTTTGGGGATTTTTCCTACAGGGAATAGGTATCATTCGATCTGTACAGGGGAAGGGGGTCCTGGAGGGAGCGTGGCCAGTGGATTGATGTTTTTACAACAGGCAAGAAGTGCTGAGGGTGGAGACTGGAATTAAGGCTATGAGAGAGGTTATGAAGCAAAGTCTGCAGGGCCTGGGGAGAGGAAGGCCCGCTCCTCCCACATGCAGAGTGAGAGCGGTAAGCGTGGTGTTTAAGATCACAGACTCGGGGAGAGGGGGCCGTGCTCCTCTTCTTGCTTTTTTTTTATTTTTTAAATATATCTTTATTGATTTCAGAGAGAGGAAGGGAGAGGGAGAGAGAGAGAGAGAACACGCCCCCTGCTGGGGAGAGAGCCCGCAGCCCAGCCTGTGCCCTGCCCGGGACATGAACTGCCATCTCCTGGGTCCTAGGTCCATGCTCAACCTCAGCCCGGCCGGCCGGGCTCTCTCCTCTTCTATCGCAGTGACTTAGTAACCGGGTGACCTCAGTGAAGTACAGTGTCCTTGTATGAAAATGGGGACAAGGGTGTTTCTGTGACAACACTATCTGGGTTAACTGAGATCGAGGAGGTAAGCTACAGCATTGGGCCTATGACAAAGTAAGGCTTCAGGTGACAATGGCCGTGATCACATCCAGGCTTTTATTCTTCCAACACTATATTCTTCCAACACTATATTCTTGCCTGGTTTCCGCCCACCGCTCACGTTTGTTCACTTTCAAGCTCCTTAAGGGTATTGAACATCTGCCTGGCTGGCATGCTCAGTGGTTAGAGCGTTGGCTTGTGGACTGAAGGGAAGCAGGTTTGATTCCGGTCCAGGGCACGTACCTGGGTTCCAAGTTCGTTTCTGGCCCCGGCTGGGGCACGTGCAAGAGGCAGCCAGTCAGTGTGTCTCTCTCACATGTATGTTTCTTTCTCTCTCCCCCTCCCTCCTTCCCTCCCTCCCCCCCTCTTAAAAAAATAAAAATAAAAGTATTGAACATCTGTGAGGCCGACTTCCTCCCTGACCTTGCCCTCCCCACCACTCACTGTCCCCAAAGGTTAGTGTCTGCCACATCTCACGATCTGCCCACACTCCCCTCAGACACTGCTGGTCGTTCTTAATGAGGATTATTTCACTCGCATCAGTCTTTAACCATCAACCATAATAATTAGCTCACAGGCATACCGCCCCCCTGTCCTCTTTTGAGTTCTACCCGTGTTTGGCCACATGGCCGCTGGGAGTCGCCCCCGACATCCCACGGGAGCCTCCACATTGCCCTGCGGCTGAGACCCTGGCACCTGCTCTTCCTCCCAAGCCCTGAGGATGGCGCCACCCATCACCCAGCCTCGGGCTAAGAGCTCCCAGTCTCCCGAACTCATTCTGGTCAGGTAACAAGGCTATTATTTTGCCTCTCGCCCCTCTGTCCCCTGGATGGGTGACTCAGACTCTTGTCACTGCCAGCCTGGATAAATTCGGTGGCCACAGCCTTCTCCATGCCTCAGTTTTGCCCCCCAGTTCACCCCCTGACTTCGGCCCCAGTTGCCTCAGCGTGACGTCCAGTCTTCCGACATCATGAGCAAGGCTCTCCCGGGCCTCCGCCCGCTGGCCTAGCCTAAGCCCTCTCCTGCCCCTCCAGCCTTCTACCCAGTCTTCTGGTTTTAGCTTCGTGCTTCCTTTGCCCCTCAGCCTCCGGGTTCCTGGCCCCATCCAGTCCGGGCCTCTGTGACATCTGTGTCCCGCCGGCCTCCCTGCCCCACTGCCCGCGTCTGACTCCATTTCCTGTTCTGCCAAGAGGTTCCCCACCTGTTCTTCAATCAGGACACATCTCTGTTGGTTCTGAGTAGTGGTCTGATTTTTTTTTCTTTTTAAAAGCAATTGACTTTTTCCTTCCTTTTCAAATCTTATTTGAAAAGCTGATATCACACGAGAGTGTCTCAAAACTGCGTTTTTTGTGTGTATGTGAAAAATATTAGAGTTTGTGAAACTCTGGGAAAACATCTGAAGTGTCTAGAGCAAAGCTCAGTGGCTTCTTCTGTAAAGTAAACCATCTTTTCAGAACAGTCCCATTAAGGATGTGTGATTACTAAGGGCAAGGATGGCAATGTGGCAGCACCGTGAGGTGCCCCCGACCAGCTCTGGGGCCCGGGACAAATACAGCAACCTCTCCGGGTCCCAACCTTTCACCTGTAAGAAGGAATGTTATATCTATTTTTTTCTCTGGAAGGACTAAATTAAATAAAATAAGATCCTGTAAAGAAAAGTTAGAGCAGAGCGTCTGGCCCGCTCACAGGTTAGAGCCCTTCCCCTGGCCGAGCCGTGGTGGGTGAGACCAAGAGAAGCCAGAGGACTAGCCCTGGTTTGTTCAGAATGACTGAAAAGGAGCTCCCTGGGGCACAGCCTTAACACTCAGAGGAGCTTTTGTTATCTCAATGCTGATCGTTTCTGTGTCACCCCTTCTTTCAGGGCTCTGGACCCCACCCGAGTCCTGCTCTCCAGGACCCAAGCCCCTCGGTTTCTCCGCTCAGCCGCAGGCACCAGCCCCACAGCTGAGCTGCGCTGGCCCAGTCCTCTGCCCACCTGAGCGACGAATATCAGAAAATCTGCTCCTTCCCTCTGTCTGAGACCTGGGCACACCGGCGTGGGGTCCGAGCAGGTGAATTTGAGAGTTTTACATGCTGTCAACCCTGGAAACTGGGAAAGGCGCGGGGACCTGATTCTGCGAGAAGTGGGGCTGGCTTTGCGGGGGCGATGGAGAGGCCGGGGAGTCTAGCACAGGCTCCTTCATGTGGTGTTCAGGGTCCCATCAGCGTGGGCTTGGTGGCAAACTGGAGCGGAAAGAGGCCACTTCCTGTTTCTCACTCTCCTGGACCCACCTGATATGCCCTGATCTGGTTGCTGCTGTGACCACTGTCAGCCGCAGTCGGGGTCCTGTGGCCTTAACCTCAGCCTGTCCTCATCGCCCTCCTCTCTGGCCATCGCTGGTCATGGGATGGGCCCCACCTGGTTCTGTGGACGGGCCTCCACCTGGAGCAGTGGTTGTACAGCATGGCCCTGGGACCCCAGACACCGCAGAGTAACCCTGGTTTCTGATCTTTGAGGTTGAAATGTCATCTTGACCCCTCGGTGAGAAACTTGTCCCTCCAAAGTCATTCCTGACCACCAGGTACCGTTGTGTCCAGCAGACGCACACACTGATCTCTCTCTCGTGGGAATAGCGGCCCCTGGACGATGTTGGACCCCCAAAGCCTCTCTGTGGGTGGGGCCCACGTGGGAAAGCCCGTAGAGCCATTCCCTTGAGCCGCTCCCTCCAAGAGCAGCAGCTCTGCGCTTACCTGGGGTGGCTCTGCCCTAAGCCAAAGGGAAGCTCAGCATCTCCAAGGACACCATCAGAGCTGCCATCCAGGGGTCCCCAGTGACCTGCACGACCACCATCCTGGAGCCTGGGAAAGCCCGGGGCTGAGAGAATCACAGGCAGAGCAGTGCTCACTCCGTGGGCCTCCTCCTTGAATATCAGAGTCAACGAGCCAGGACAGCCTCCCACATCCCCTGTGTGTGGTCAGATTCCAAAAAAGGAACCAGTGAGTAGGAATTGTCACCCCTAGGCAGAGGGGCGTGTAAAGCACATGATCTTCAGGCGTAAGATTCACTGAAGACAGTATGAGGAAAGGGATCCTCGTTTGAGTAACCGGGTGAGTCACGAGATTTGTTTTCTATGTTTTCCTGGCTCTCCTTGCTCGGTGCAGATACCAGGCATGTCATTCCCGCCCCATGGTGAGTGCCATCCCCCGCTCGGCGGGTTCAGGGAATGAGCAAGCGCTAAGCAGTGTTAGATCGAGGGGGACTGAACTCCCTACCTCAGAACCCTGAGGACCATCCTTTCTTTGCATTTCAATATAATTTTTGTAATTTAATTAATTAATCAACTTATTTGTTTACTTTAGAGAGAGAGAGAAAGAGGGAGAGAAACATCGATTTGCCGTTCCACTCACTCATGCACCCACTGGCTGATTCTTGTATGTGCTCTGACCAGGGATTGAACCCACAACCTTGGTGTGTGAGGACGACGGCACTCTAACCAACTGAGCTACCCAGGCAGGGCTCACNAGGGTCCTGGATTCCTCCAGGATTGGGGTGGCCACCAGAAAGAC